GTGTTCCGCGGGACGAGGCTGAGGGAAAACGGATACCGTCTCCGACTTCCTGCGACGAGGGGTGCCGCGAAGCCAGGGGGATGACAAATCGATGGTTGTTTCGCTGATCGCCGAGATTTGCATACGGCCGACACCTCGGCTAATGCGTCGGACAACGGCGGGAAAAGTGCCGTACACGACGGCCAACTTTTCCGGCAGTCGCGGAGGCCGGCGCCCGAACGGAAAGTTCGCTCGCACCCCCGCTGTATTTAGCTGTTCCGAGAATTTCACTTGGAGATCGGCACGTCTGGGAACTCTCTCAACGCCGGCTCATTACAGTTTTTATAACGGCGGCGATAATTGACAGCTGCGAATTGGTTCTGCGAGCGGCGGAGTTCCCATTCTTCGCCCTTCGGGAGAGTGTACTTCGGGAATTTTTTTAGAAGAAACTAGACGATGTAGCTTCGTGAAGTTTGAACTAGATTGTTTGTACAAGTTTCTAGTGTGTTGGTGATTTTTTATGCGTCGCTGTCGTTGAAATTGTAGTAGTTGCGCAATTAAGTCGAGGATGAATAGTTGTTACGATAACGATCTCTATTCTCTTGTAACTTGCAATAGTCATAATGCAATAATCGAATAACTTGCACAGTTTCGATAGAAAAAATCTACAAAAATTCAAGAGCACACTCTAAACATATCGAAATTAGCTCGCTAAGTTCCCGAGAAACGTCTCATTCACTTCCACGGAAACAAATTGCCGAGCTACACCCTCGAATCGAATTAAAAATTTCACTGCCTTTACCGCAGACATCTCCCTCGAAACAATGCACTATGCGCTATCAAGGAATGTCTGTCTATCACCTGTCGCCAATTACTTCGGAGCTTCTTTCGTCAGTTTTATCACCGCTACTCCGATTCACCGGACCCGGTCCGCCGTGTCACGGAGAATTGAACCGATCCAACGACCGTCGCATAATTCCTTTTTATGTCTGCCGCGGAACGGTTCCTCTCGTAGTTAACCTCGGATTGGTCCGCGTTGGTGCATTTGGTGCACATTCGTGGTCCAGATCCAAGGAACGATCGGCCGATCACGGCCGGACGATTCGAGGGAGTGTCGTTCGTTCCGTCGTGTTGGATGCCCGACAAACAATTTTTGAGCCGGCCTCGTAATTCAAAGGGAACGGCGAGTGGCTCGCGTGCCAACTCGTCCTTCGCGATGGCCCCTCGTTTGGTCGAACGTTTAAGCCGCCGGGATATGCATACACAGGAGCTAACCGAGGCCTTAGCCCAGTTCGCGGGCGACGGACATCCTTGCGCGGTCGGCCGATGTTGTTTCCTGATAAAGTCGCGATATCGGCAGAGAATCTCTCCCTTGTAACGCGAGCAGCGAAACACGAGACCTTTCTCGAGACGTTTTACCATTACAATGCCATCGATCTACGGGGCCTCGTGGTAATTGTTCTGCATAATTATTTCGATGTAATCACGGTGACGGCGAACGGCTGTCCTCGACCCTCGGCGCTCGGAAGATTTTTCTCAAGATGAGAGAAAAAGATCGAATCGAATAAAAATTTAGCAAGATTTCGTTCGATTGAAAATTCGAATAAGAATACGTTCGAGTAAATGTTTATTCGCAGAGGAATTCACGCGAGAAATGAATTAATTGAATAAATGTTGCAGCGGAATGTTTGTTCGTACTTTTGTATTCGTACGAAATTATTGTCGCGTAAGATATTCTTATAAAATTAGTCGCGTTATTATTCGAACAGTTTTACAATCTCTATTCGAACGATTTGATTTTTAACTATTCGAATAATTTTAGAATCTCCGTTCGAATAGAATTATGCGAATAATTCAATCGAATTATTCATTTGAATCAGAAAGAAATTATTCGAATAGAGAATTTATCCTTCGAATAATAAGAAATTACTCGAGAAAATAGAATAACTTACGACGAATAATGAATAATCCCAATTCGAATAAAACACTCGACTATAAACAGAATTCATCCGGATAAATTTGAGAAAATAGAATAACTTACGATGAATAATGAATAATCCCAATTCGAATAAAACACTCGACTATATATATATATATATAAATATATAAACAGCTCCAAACAAACCTGCTCCAAACAATTCAAATAACGCTTAACTGCGTCTTCAACCCTGATCATCGTATTCTCCGAAGGTCATCGAGCGGCAACGGTCATCGAGATGATTTCGAAAGAGAAAAAAAGCGTCGCAGTGCTCTCAGCAGAACGTGTATCGAAAATCTCTACTTACCGCAAGCCGCAAACGGCCGATATTCATTCGAACCGACCGGAAACCCTTGCGGTGGCTCGTCGACCCCCACCCCGTGACCCCCGTGACCCGCTGAAAATCGAGATAAACTTTTCGGTGGCGTAACACGCGTCCCTCTTTCGAATGTGCCTTCTCTGCGAGCGTCGAATCGGGTATTCCGGGTCGCCCTGGGTGCCCTGTGGAGGGGAGAGGGTCGTTCACCTGCATCGCGCCCATCTCCACCAGGTGGTCCCAGCGATGCGACTCGGAGGAACGATACGTAGAAACTGATTAAATTTCACAAAAGCCCCGTCGGGCGCCGATCTCGACTGTCATGGCAACTGCGAGGACAACAAACTTCGTTTCCGGGATTCTGCATCGGTTTCACGGTCGATCGGACGACAATAGCATGGGACGGGACTGCTTTCGGCATACTTTTTAATTTGTTTTGCCCTGGATAACGTTTCCGGGTATGGAGAATGCTGAAACTCTGCTATTTCTTTTTGCTGTAATTAGATCGCGTCGTTGATAATCGTTCGAATTTACGTCGTCAAGTTAGATCGTACTTTTTCCTCTCCATTCTCTGTCAACCAGTCAGCTGTTGTAAGTTAGTTGCAACTTAGTTGCCAGTTAGGTTTTTGAGAAGTGTGTACCTGAAATATGTATCGTAAAATGTGGCGAATAATGAATGTCGGCGATCAAATCATTCGCGACGTTTCTGAAGCTAATGAAATCTTGTGTACGCCGTTCATTCGACGGCGCATCGTGCATTTCTTTTTACGAGACCGATTTTGCTCGCTGCACGACTGCTGCCACGAATGTTTTTATCCCGGAGAATCTGGTGCAATGGATTGTTAAAATCACTTTTTAGCTCGCTCCGGGCGAATTTTGATGCAGAACGAACGTTATCCACTGCTTTGAAAAAGCGACTGCTCAATGAACGCGTGATCAACGTTCCGACGAATTCGAACATGAATGTTTCATGTCGCGCGTCTCTAAGTGGATCGAATTTTTATATATATATTAACGTATTATTAAATTCCTATTGTTCCAACCTTCTGAGTAATGTAAAAATGTAAAAATCGAAGTTCAGTATCAAGTACATTAATTTTGGCTCGAGTGCAACTGTTCAATTAATCGACGATTAAAACGAATAAATAATAAAATAGAATAGAATAGAATAAATGGAATAAATAATAGAATAATAATAATAAATAATAGAATAAATAATAGAATAAATAATAGAATAAATCTGTGCATAAAATACCAACACTATCGAGCGACAATCCGTCGACGACGTTCAATTAAACGAATTTCTCTATAATTATGACGTAAAATTGGACCGAACGATGAATTCGGACAACGAACTCGCCGTAACCGTGGATGGAAACGCGGCGAAAAAAAGTTCGAATCGGAAGAGTAACGACTCGCGTCGAGCGTGACGACCGAATTCCCTTGATTCCGCGCGTGTCTCGCAGCGGGCGCGCAAATGAGGCGCAGGATTAGAACGGAGTTTCTTTTTCCCTTATTTTTGGTCGACTAAACACCGTGTCCCGCGTGTCTCCTGACCCGATCACCGGTGCAAACGGGACCGGTCGCCGGGCGCGTCCTATTTATTTTTTTTTACGTCCAATCGGTCGGAGCACCGTGAAAGATAAAGTTCATGATTGGCCGCGCGATTTCCGAATAATCACACGGTCGGGCGAGCCGGCGAAATCGCGTGAAAAATCCGCGAGCAGACAGAATCACAAATGAAGGAACAACGGGTAACAGTCCTCATCGTGCGACAAAGAAAGAAAAACGGGCCGGGAGACATACGGATATCGCGTTCCTTTTGTTATCGAATCGATTGCGCTTCATAGCCGTTCCCGGCGAATTAATCGTCGATTCGCACGAGCGGCCACGCGAGATTTGTTGTTTCCACGTACGAATTTCAGGGACGATATGCTCCCTCTCTCTCTCTCTCTCTCTCTCTCTTTCTCTCTCTCTCTTTTCTTTTCCCAAATCGCTGACCTAGAACACCCCTCGCAATCTCTCTCTCTCTCTCTCCTTTTTCTCTGTTCTTCTCCCATTGTTCCGCGTTTTATTTTTCTTCTCGGTTTCTTGGCATCCACCAACGGAGTTCACGATTTCGTGTTTAGCATTTCGATTCTCCTTTTAGGTGTAGACATGAATTCGTCCCGATTTCAGAGTAAAATCAAGATTTTATTACGATGAGGTTTGCTAGAGTTCAATTGTCGAAATGATTACTATTAATAATCTTACTCGATTTATGAGACAATTAATAAATAGACCGAATATATAGACCGCGAATTTTTATGCAAACTAAACATGCGATATAATATAGATATTATACACATATTGTTATTTAGTAACTCGAATAAGTCGAAAATAGTGTAACATTGTTCTTAAATTCGTCTATCGACTCTACAGTATTATTCTGTTATTATACTGTATATACAGTACTGTACTATATATACTGTACTATGATGTACCGTACTGTACAGTATTATACTGTATATACAACTGTTCATATTTGTTATAAACGCACAAAATCTGTGGACTAGCGATAAAAGTACAACGATCTCGAACGAATAAACTCGTCGAAGAATCCACGAACATGGTCGATCGATTTACAACATCCGTCTATTAAATAACATCGTAACGACATTATCAGCAGAATCTTTCTACAACGAAAAAAGCGTTGTTCAACAATTATAAATAATACCTAGAAATTTCATTCGTTCATCATTTTAATGGATCAAAAGTTGTACATCGATGTACGTAAATTGCTTTACGAACAGTTTTTATATATTGTATATAAATTGTTCCTCCAATAATTTCTCTCGCAATAGTCATATATTTATCGTGCGAAATTAATCGGAAATAATTCATTTCTACACCTTAGATTTCCCGGTTTTTTCTTCATTCCCGTGCCTCGCGCATTACGCATTCCAATCTTGACTTTAATTAAGTTGCTCCCTCATTTTCCCGTTCTCGCGGCCACTTATGAAAGTCCGCCTGTCCGTTCTACACCTAAACCAACGTCCCCGCGGCGTTACTTTATTTCTCCACGCTTAATTGCGCTCCGGACATACAACTTTTCGCCATTGAAACAGTTTTGCTCTCGAACAGGTCGCGGGCGCTGCGGTTTTTACGACGACGGACAGACAGCCTGTAGAAATTCGGGAACGCGGTTCAAACGCGCCGCAATTTAACCTGTCGACTTCCATTAAAATATATAATTTTCGATTCGGTGAAAAAACAAATCCTCCGAAACGCGTGGGAGAACGAAGAAACGATCGACAAGTCGGCAGCCATGTCGGTCCGAGATCGAAACCGATCGATTTATTTCAAATTCCAGGCGCGAATACACCGAACGCTCTTGCGTTTCGCAGACTTCACAATCCTTTCGCAATCCTCTTTCGCGCGTCGACGGATGATCGCGCCCCTGGCAGAACCCGTCAAGGTGTCGGCCATCAATAAGTAACCCACCGGTGGCAGCTTCTCAAAGATTTACGAGCTCGGCTACGCGGATCCCGAACGTCGCGGAACAAAAATTGCCGGGCGTCTCCGAAGGAATCCACTACTTGCGGGCTCGCCGAGCCTCGTCTGGCAAGGCACAAGCTCTTCGTCGGGGAATTAGCGATTGTCATTTTGTACAGGGCAGCAGCGGGGTGGCACGGCCGACACTGTGTCACGTGGCGTTTCGTGACAGTTTGTCGGCGAGCGAGGAACGAGTCTCTCGCGGGCGACGCGTCGGATTAGCCGGTCGGTGATCGAGCGACGCCCACGGAGTTAGGCGAACGGGCTTGCCGGTTGCTAATCCAGATAGGATTCGGGTCAGTGGGCGCGCGAGTATCCCAGGCAATTGCTCCAAAATCGGTCCATGGTGTGGTAAAAGTGAGGAGAGACCCCGGTCAGACCGTGCGCCTCGTCCGTGTAGGACTGCTGCTGGAACATGATGTCCCTCTTGACCAGAGCCTTGTTCAGGGCCAGGGCCTGCTGGTAGTGGACGTTGTCGTCTCCTGTCCCATGTATCAGCATGAACTTTTTGCCCCGTATACCCTCCACCCTTCTGGTCACGTCCGTGTTGTTGTACCCGCCCAGGTTGTCGTCCGGCGTCGGCAGACCCATGAACCTCTCCGTGTAGATCGAGTCTGCGGAGAGAATCGTTACCAAAAACTGGTCGTTCGACACCGAACTTCGGTCTACTAGGTACAAGCTACTATTACGCGAAGTCGCACTTTGTGCAAAGGTGCTTCAAGCTAATTGGTTAATTGCGATGTCTCGGACGAAGATTGCAGAGGGCGCGTGGCTGGACTTTGGGAATTTTTTTCGGAGAGACTGATCGACGCAGCTTCGTGAAACTAGAACGGTTATGTTCGCAAAAGTTTGTACTATGTTTGGGATTTTTGGTACGTCGATGTCGTTGAAAGTGCGGTAGCTGTTGAATTTATTCGAGACCCTGTTTAAGGAGCATCGTGTGTACGATCTTAAGGTAACGCTATTAAGATAATGTTTGCTCGATTAATAATTATTGTGGTATGCGTGATAACGATTCAGAAAAATTTAACTCTGTAGTCTAGATGTATTAGTCTGCCATGTTTCAGGGACATGTTCTATTCGGTTTCATGAGAACAAATTCCCAAAGTTCACCCTCGAATCTGGAATTTCGTGCTATCTCGATCCACGTTGGAACAATGTTTGATGTCTGAAAACCAGCGAAACGTGAATTACCATAGTAAATCCAGGAGGAGACGGGTGCCACCGATATGCCACACTTGAACACTGAATCATGGTCAGTAGCCAGGGTCATTGCTGCGGCGAATCCGCCGTAACTCCAACCCCATATCGCGGTTCTGTTCGCGTCGATCCAGGAGTATTTTTCTTGCAAGTATCTGAAAATTATGAAACAAAATGACAAGGCCTTAGAAATTATTCAGTACGACGTTTCGAACTAATTATAAAATTTAAACATCGGACGATGTGAAATTTATTTTCATTGTATGTTATTTTGATTTATTCGATTTATTTATTTTATTGTACTGGGGGAAAGCATTCTGACTCAATTAGAATCTGATGATAGAAATAATGAAGATAGTTAGTTCAAGAAATGCAAGGTAATTGTTTCAAGAGATCCAAGATCATTATTTCAAGAGATCCAAGATAATTGTTTCAAGAAATCCAAGACAATTGTTTCAAGTAATCCAAGATAATTGTTTCAAGAGATCCAAGATAATTATTTCAAGAAATCCAAGATAATTGTTTCAAGAAATCCAAGATAATTGTTTCAAGAAATCCAAGATAATTAATTCAAGAGATCCAAGATAATTATTTCAAGAAATCCAAGACAATTGTTTCAAGAAATCCAAGATAATTGTTTTAAGAGATCCAAGATAATTATTTCAAGTGATCCTAGACAATTGTTTCAAGAAATCCAAGACAATTAATTCAAGAGATCCAAGACAATTATTTCAAGAAATCCAAGATAATTAATTCAAGAGGTCTCCGTCCAACTTATGGCGTCCTCCATCAATTCGGCACGAAAATCTCAGCAAAATAATAATCCCGAAGCACAGATAACGAATGCAAGAAACGGTCGTAGTTGCAAGTCCACCGGACCGAGTGCAAAACGATAAACTGGTCGCCCCGACGCACACGTGTCGCGAGTCGGTAAGCTGTCCGAGACCATGAAACTCGATTCGTGCCCACCTGGGGCCCGTCGGCAAAAAGGGGGTGGTCCCTGGTTCGACCAAAAACGGCGGAACCAGCATGACGGATCAACCTGGCAAGAACCAGCGGCTACCTACCGGGTGACATCGATCTGGTCCTGGATCTCCACGGTGCCTAGGCGTCGATAGATCTCGAACAGTATCTTGCTGCCTTTAAAAGCGGACCCGCGGCCATCGATGTGACCATAAATGACGCTCCTGTTGGTCACCATGTACGACTCGAACCCGAACGTGTTCGCATCGGTCACTCTAACGGTGTTCGGACCCGCGTACCTGCAGGAATGTCCGGAAACGTAAAGAACGGGCTGCAAAAATCCGGATCGTTCGGTTGAATCGTCGATATTCACGGCTTTATCGAACTTCTCGCATCGTTTCAGGATCCACTGAAATCCTTGACTGTAATTCTTCTGCTGGCCCGATCCCTTACGGGGGTCGAACGAGTGCTTCGCGCCGAGATGGCGATAGTTTGCACGGGCAATTTTATTGGCTCTTTTATAATCGACGTTCAACAATTACGAGATTTTAGAAAATCGATAATCTAATCTGTTACAATCTTCCAAATCATTTATATCGATGTAATAAGTTCTTACGAAATTATTGTCTCGAAGAAACTTATTTTAAAATTGATAAAATTTTATTTTAAAATGAATTAACTGTGTACGTTCGTGATCATTTATAATTTCATTTATCTACTTTGATCAACATATTTTTGAAAATAGTTCTTCTACACACCTGAACGAAACACGTGAAACATCAAGATTAATTGTCAGAGTCCATCTAATCATGTAACAACATTCGTACCCCGGGTCCAAACGGACCCGACGCGTGATAATTGAAAAGACTATCCGGCAACGCTCTTCAAACAAGAAAAGTACGATTTTGTTCGCAGTTGAACTAAACCAATCCAGCAAATAAACCTCCGCAAACTTTCACGAAATTAAACAGAAAGCTTTATCATCGCAACTGAGCGCAAGTAATTACAATCGCGTTTTAACGCGAAAGGATCCTTGAAAAGATTATTCGTTTGTCTGTCGCAATCTCGATCCGAGAAGGGGAACGAACTGTCCGCCCGATCCAATTACTTGTTAATCCCGAACCCGTCCCTAAGACGATTTTAATGGTCCCCGTCGAAAGCGTCGGCCCCGGGGCGATCGAGCATGATCGGACGAACGCTGCTAATTAATGGTAACTCACACGTTGATGAGCAGCGGGTAGGACTTGCTGTCGTCGAAGTCCGGCGGCAGATACAGTCTAACCTTGTTGTCGTAGCCGTTCACTCTGACGTCGAAATCCTTGATACGTGGCTGCCGACGACTGGTCAATTTTCGTCGGAGAGGTCGGTTCTCCTCCCACAGATGAAGTGGCCTTTCGTCCGAGTCGAAGATCACGACGAACGTGGGGTCGGGTCCGGTGCAAGCCACCGCGTAATAAGTATTGTCAATGGAGAATGAGGGATAGGCATAGGAGCAGACGTGGCCTGTGGACAATACCGAAACGCAACAGTTCATTTCCGGCTATCAGGATCTTGAATAGGGAGGATTCGAAATGAGCACCCAGGGTGGTCCAGGAACATGCCAGTCATATTATTATTTCAAAACGTGTACTTCCCGACGAATCGTTTCGCGGAGTCTCCATTATTATTTAATTATGTCAGCTATCTGATTATTCAGTAACCACCTAATTATAGCTCACTGTAGCTGTGTTTAGAGAGGAAATATATATGCTCTAGAAGTCCCGTTCTTTATTGGCAAAATTAAACATTTTGAACTTAAAAGCGAAATTTTTTTGAATAACGAAACGACTTTCCAAGTCTGGAATCTTTTTTTGAAATAAGAACTGCTCACCCTGAGGCGCGATGACGTTGCAAGAAATACATCTTAATGATTCTTAAAATTTTCTATTTTTATCCGGGCGATTCTAGAACTTTCTATTTTCATCTGGAGGGCTTCTAGAATTTTTTATTTTCAGCACAGTTTCTAAAATTTTCTACTTTCACTAGAACGATTTCTAAAATTTTATATTTCCATTCCTTTCGTCAACAATTTCAGTGAATTGAAAATAGTACATAGAAGTCCTTCGATTCTTTAACCATTTCAATTGTCATCAATTTCACCATTTTTATTATAAATATTAACGCCAATTTTATTATAAATATTAACGCCTACGAGAAATCCACGAAACCTGCGTTCCCAATCGAACAGGGTAATCGAGTCCCAAATAAATCGTCAGATCGCATCTGGGATCTTTCGTTTAAACAAGAACTCACCCTCGGGCGTGATGATGTTGCAAGAAATGCATCTTGGCGCCTCGTTACCGTCCAAGGGCACCGAGTACAGGTTCCTCTCGGACGGTCGGTCGACCCCGGTTGCAACATAGTAAAGGATCCCCCTGGTGTGATCCACGGCCACGATGCTGATCACTTCGGAAGAGTTCGGAGTCAAATCCTTCGGCCAGATCAATCGGCCCTCCATGTACCTGTAGCGGATCGCGTGGACGAACCGGCCGACGTTCGGCGAGCTGCCCGTGTGCTGTAGCTCCAAAAGGACCACGTATCGATCGTGGTAAACCGGGGGATGTACTCGCAGCCAGCCCTCGGTCTCCACTTTGAACAGCAGGTTCTCCGGCACGCCATCAGTTTCGTAGCGCACTAAAATCGACCTGTTCTGGGCCCGGTTCGTCCAGGTCGCCATCACGTGCCGGTTCCACCAATTCACCGTGTACAGGATGTAGTCCCTGTCGAAAATCGTTCGTCAACGTCTTCGAGGATGGCAAAGTCTTTTTCAAAGACGACCAGCATCAAGGTTCTCAACAATCGCGAAGAATTGATGGAAGAGGTACATTTCGATGTAACCTCTACTCGTTAAAAATCATTAAGAAAGCTCTTATTCAGCGTAAAGGTCCGCAATTTAGCCGTAACATTGCAACGCGCGATATTAATTCGCGAGGAATTCATTCTTTTCCGGTTCACACGAGTGCCCTAAATCTATCAGAACATCATGCAATTGCTGTATTATATATTATATATATATTATATTACAGGGTTTCCCAAAAATGTCTCGCAATCCGGAAATTATGGATTCCTTAGGTTATTCGAAGCAACTTTTTCCTTATCGAAAATGCGAACCGCGGCTTCGTTTACGAGTTATTAACGAAAAACGCCAACCAATAAGAAGCGAGCTCTGCTGACGCGGGGCGGCCGAGCCAACGAGCGCGCGAAGCCCAGCTCCGCTCATTGGCTCGGCCGTCTCGCGCCGGCAGAGCTCTCGCCTCTCATTGGTCGCTGATTTTCGTCGATAACTCGCAAACGAAGCCGCGGTTTGCATTTTCGCTGAGGAGAAAGTTGCTTCAAACGATCTCGGGAATCCCTCCGTTTCCGGATTGCGAGACATTTTTGAGACATCCTGTATTATCTCTTATACAGATAATAATGAAACGAATTAAGAAAAATGAGAAGTCATGGCATTACGAGAGAGCGTCGGTGCTAAACTCCGTCGTTAAGAATATCTTGTCAGCGTCGATCACGGCGATAAGATATCGGGGGGAACGAGGCGGCTAGTGTTGCTCACGAGAGCCGGCCTGTTTGTTCGAAATCATGCTAATCTGGCGCGACGGTGATAATGACGACAGGGAAGGCTTCGAGGATACTTACTCGTCGACGANCGAAAATGCGAACCGCGGCTTCGTTTACGAGTTATTAACGAAAAACGCCAACCAATAAGAAGCGAGCTCTGCTGACGCGGGGCGGCCGAGCCAACGAGCGCGCGAAGCCCAGCTCCGCTCATTGGCTCGGCCGTCTCGCGCCGGCAGAGCTCTCGCCTCTCATTGGTCGCTGATTTTCGTCGATAACTCGCAAACGAAGCCGCGGTTTGCATTTTCGCTGAGGAGAAAGTTGCTTCAAACGATCTCGGGAATCCCTCCGTTTCCGGATTGCGAGACATTTTTGAGACATCCTGTATTATCTCTTATACAGATAATAATGAAACGAATTAAGAAAAATGAGAAGTCATGGCATTACGAGAGAGCGTCGGTGCTAAACTCCGTCGTTAAGAATATCTTGTCAGCGTCGATCACGGCGATAAGATATCGGGGGGAACGAGGCGGCTAGTGTTGCTCACGAGAGCCGGCCTGTTTGTTCGAAATCATGCTAATCTGGCGCGACGGTGATAATGACGACAGGGAAGGCTTCGAGGATACTTACTCGTCGACGACGGGCGGCTGGAGATTAACCAATTCCGAGGACGGATTATCCAAATCAACGACGGTTAGAGCGACGATTGGGTTTGGAGTGCCCGCCTGAAAAGCGACCGTAAACGATTACGACGTATCGTTGTTACATGTACAAGAAAGTATACGGAGAGACGAGAACTGGATTGGTAATTGTGGCGAGCGGAAGAAAGGAAGAGGGAGAATCGCGGAGGAAGTCTCGGCGAACGAGAGAAAGGAAGTTAATTTTCCTTAACGTTCGTTGAGCATGGGATACAGCCGACGGCGCCGAGCTGCTTGGCGAGAAAAACCAGGGGGTTAAATGCGAGATAACCCTTTCATCCCCTTTTAAAGCTGGCAACGAGACCAGTCGGCCGTGTTGAGCTTCCTAATCTGTTCCAGCCGCGACGAATGTCTTCGTCGACCAACAAATTGAATGAACCGAAGGAACGATTATCTGATCCTGTCGATTTTTCTCCGACAAAAATCCGTTTACGACGGATGCAACAACGTGAACGCGATCTCTTTGCCGCACGTTAGACGAGAATTATCATAAATGGGGCGTTTCCCATACTAAAATATTATCATATTATCTTATCTATTATTATTATAATTATCTTATCTATAATCATCTCTATTATTATTATAATTATAATTATGTGTAATCTATCAGTTGATACGTAACCATGTCGGACGATTAATTTTTTGTATGCTTAAAAGTAATGTTTTTCCTCTTTTCTTAGTCCTTATTTATTGCGTTCGATCAGATGTTTCTTCGAGAATGTTGATACATAGCTTCGGATAGCCTCTTTTTATCGTGGTAATTAAACAAGTCGGATTTTTAAGGCGATTACATCATGTGACGCATAAAAGGGGCCTTCAACTTCTTTCGCTTATTATGTCATTAATTTTTAAGACGTTATTATTTGGAAGTTTTTGTCAATTTTTTATCAAATTTATTTTCATTGGAATGGTTATTTTTTCTCACGAAATACTAAAATGCGGTGTTAAGCTCCTTTCATATTTCTTCACCTTTTTTTGATGTGCTACTTGCGTAACATATTGTCATGCTATGGTAATTGTATATGCAGGGACTTTATCCCGTTGCTCAAATAAATATTACTATTATTATTATTAAAATTCGTGGGACGAAAAACAATCCATTGCCCGACAATCGTTAATAATATTTTAATCGATATTTTTCTTTTACGGAGCACGCCTAATTAGAATTTCTGCAAAAATTCTTCTCATGGACGTGACCCGACCCGATGTATTTGCCGGCGTTGAATTTTCGAAGTTTCGGCGTTGCGCGATGCAGCGGCAGGACGTTGAAATTTAAAACCGTGAATATCTCACGGAGCAAGAAATATTGGACATGCACCGCTTTCGTGCAAAACGGATCATATATTACATGCCTCTTGTCCAACGAACCGACGATTATAACCGACAGAATTATTGCGTCTGTTCCGCGAGTCAAGTTCGATCGGACTTTTTCAGTAAATCCGACTCGCAGCGTTAAATCTGCTTGAAATTTTAATGATAGATTTCACGGAAGATTAATTGCAAGGATTATTCAACGGGAGATTCTGCGGCTGTCGATTCTCGCTGCTTTGGAACCGAGGATGAATTTTTCACGCGTCAGTTTCGAACAAAAAGCAAAAGTAATGGAACGCAGTGAAAACCGGCGATTCTCTCGGCGCGATTTATATTAAGCTCACCTTCGGATACTTGATCTTTACTTCCTTCGGATATTGATCCGCCAGGACACCTGGTCTCCCATAATAGGGTATCACCATATCTCTCACCTCGGTGTCGTTGTAGGTCGCGAAAGCAAGGTGACTGCCGTCAGGGGAGAACCAGAACGCCGTTGCCGAGGCCAGCACTTCCTCTGCAAACGGACACGCGGATATCGATCATTCCGGCGATCTACAACGCCTCCTCTTTCTCATTAACACGTTAACTGCCGTGTCACGCATGCGAGGACGACGAAATTATTTGTCCCGATTTTAAACGCGAATTTCCATGCTAATAATTATTCTTCCCGACTTTTCGTCACGTTCGACGAACCGCTCTGTTCCCGTAGAATTGTTCTCGAAACGTTAATTCAGTCGTCGTTGACGATTCGTGCTCGTCGTTCGAATCTCTGCTGAAATTTATTATTAAAACTCGGATATTCGACGTGCACGAGATGACGTCGTTAATGATTCAATGATTCGTGCTACATGAAAAAGCGACGTAGCCACGCGGAACGTAAATTCGCCCGGAAACTGCCCGGTAACGAACAGATTAATCTTTAATCGCCCCTGTGCTGTCGCCAATGGGACCCTGAATTTTATGCATTTGCGCCGTCTTTGATCTTCTGAAAATCAGCAGAAAGTAAAACGTTCGAACAGACTCTTTCTCTTACTTTGTTCACGACTTCGACGTTTCAACATTCAGATATATACTCGCGATTGTTCCCATAATTATGTCCTATATTTATGTTAACATCCGGAAAGGGGTGATCCCTGAGGTCATTTGGAGTAACTTTTTCCTTTGCGAAAATGCAATACGAGGCTTCGTTTACGAGTTATTAATGAAAAACAGTGACCAATGAGAGGCGGTAGGCGGTGCTAGGCAGCGAGCCAATCAGCGAACCGGAGCTTCGCTCGCTCGTTGGCTCGGCTGCCTAGCCCCAGCCAAGCTCGTCTCTCATTGGTCAGTGTTTTTCGTTAATAACTCGTAAACCTGTCTCTTATACACATCTAGATGTGTATAAGAGACAGGCCTACCGCCTCTCATTGGTCACTGTTTTTCATTAATAACTCGTAAACAAAGCCGCGGATTGCATTTTCGCTAAGGAAAAAGTTACTTCAAATGACCTCAGGGATCACCTCTTTCCGAGTGTTAACATTTATGAGACATGATATATTATGATATATATAATATATAATATATTATATATTATTATAATATATTATAATATATTATGAATATATTATGAGATATTTACCAGATATCCTGTACATTTTAATAATAGAAATATCAGAATCAAAGTTATCGTAGCATGGGGAAGAACGTTTCAACGTTCAAAATAAAATTAATTAGTCTAGTTAATTGTCTCACCTTCGTAGACCCAATCGGGCGCACCGTTGAAAACGACATCCGGCACGCCGGTGTACGTCAATCGTCGAACGGGACTGCCATCTTTATCGAACTGCTGATAGTAAATGTCATTGTCCAGAACATAAACAATCGCGTTTTGCTTAGGCGACCATCTCGCGAGCGCTAAGTGTTTTCCATCGCCGATTTTTGTATACGTCCTGCGGATAAGAACTCGATTGAAACGAGGTCGAAGACCCGTCGACATGGAACCGATTTACAGTGAGTGTAAAATGTATTCGAACGCGATTCAAAACGTGTACAAGGCTGTTGTACCAATTTCCGTGCATTTAAGCCAACGTTTGCTTTGCTGAAACTTTCGTTAAATGCTCTAATCTTCATTTGATGCACTAAAACTGTGTTCCGATCTTTCAGACCTTTCTGTCTTTAGAAATATTAAATCTTTACATTAAATGGTACAATATTAAATGTATTACACAAATATATTAAAAAGTATATTAAATAATATAAATATTAATATTAAATCCGATTTTTGACACGGCAGATTGCTTGAACTCGCTGGGAACTGTTGTAGCATCGATTGAAAGATAATTGTTACACTTTGATGTATAAACAATGTAATATTCTCTCTAAATCTTGCGTGTTGTCAGGTAAACGTAACAAGAAAATATAGATTATCAATTAGTATAAGAAACTTTTCTTTTTCTACACGTGTTTATTCCGGAGACGCAGAAATTGGGACACGGGCACAGAAATTGGGACATCCACCCTATGAGATCGTCCTCGATCCCGTGCACTTTGCGCACGGAATGGTCAACGAGCGGACACGGAAAACAGCTTGGCCAGCGTTAATTTTAACGTCGTTACAACGGAAACGTTAGACCGTTTCGTAATTTGGTTTATTAGCGCGTCGTTAAAGTTATCGATAACGTGCGAACCGAAGAATGCTCACCTCCGTTTCGTGTTGTACACGTCGAACCGTTGAAACGCCGAGTGCCTGAAGTTCTGGAAAAAATAGTGAACATCGTCTCTGTAGAGTTATTTTGAGCCGTCGTAGTTTCGCGTTGTTTAATCGGCGTGGATTTGCAAGATCTGAACGAGGTGTAACAAACGAATGTGCAGTATTTGTGTCGTCGAGTACGTTCGAGAGATTAACCGATGAAATGGCAATATTAAAAATGAATGAAAAACGTAATCGTTCTGTTCACAATTTTCTAAATAGCTTTTAAAATTGTTGCTCTGCCATTCGAACGATCATTTCATAAAGAAATTTTTGGATCGAGAAATAAAATAATTCCGAGTTTAACATCGTTTTCTCAGAACTCGCGTTGCATTGATTGTTCGATTGAAGACCGCCATGTTGGACACTTACTGCGATCATATCGTAGCTGATGAGGATGTGCGAATTGTCGGACGAAAAGCTCATCCTAGGGTTGTTGTAAGGGCTCTGGAAATTCAATGTGGAATTATTATTAGTTGAATTAGGACGCGTTTCTTATTACGACGCGTTTAAACGAGAGAATCGCGATTGCGATGATTTATAAACATTCCTGCATCCAGATGCTATCGGAGCACCGTAGCATAACGATTAACATTGTTGATGAAATCGATTATGAGTTTGGCACTCATGCAGGCGCAATAAATCACCCGGATCGACAGCGGCGATCGATAACGTAATAACTCGTTGATAACCGCGACCGCGGCTCTATTTTTCTACGTCAGTTTCAAAGGTGCAATCCACTGATATCCAATGAATTCGATTCATTGTAGTAGTGAAAAATCTTCTGCGTGCTTCGAGAGATATTGAATCGAAAAATCGACGATCTATGTACATCGTGCAAATGATATTTTTCGTCATTTTGTGACAACGATATACACATATATCCTTCATAAATATATTAATTAGCAAACTGCGGATCTTCGTGCAGAATAAAAAATATTCCTCATCAATTCTAAGAAACAGGAATCTGATAAAAGCATCCTTTCTTCGACAATTTTACTGAGCTTGCTAAAAATAAGTGAAAACTCCTAACATAATCGGTTCACCCATCGTCAGTGTGATATAAAAATGTGACGTGATAAGTATAGTAAAGTATTGCATAGGCCGATCAATTTCTTTAACAAAATGTTAAAAAAAAAAATTTTAATAAGTCAATTTCATGCATTATTATTATTGTCATTTTGTTTAAACCAGGCTGATAATTTAAATACTGGTGTGATGAGTCGGCTGATCACACTGACACCGGATTAGCATCAATTTATTGTCACATCGTATTTTTGAATGATCCACAATGCTACCAATCAATCTCTATTATCAAAAATAAAGATTCGAGAAGTTTCAAACGCGAAGTAATAATCGCAGAATTGTCGCGAATAATAAGAACTCTAATTGATGCGATTCCAGACGATGCTCCGCGGGCGATTCGCGGCCTGGCAAAATTAAGCGGCGAGCAGTAACGTGTCCCTTGAATCAATATCGTCTGTTGGTTCGCGCCCGAAACTGGACTGCGAAATTCGTCGTCGAGGAGCCAGACAGAACAGAGAGTCGCTGATTAATTAAACACGCCTTCGCTGTTTGTTTCGGGCCGATTCCGGCGGGAAAAGACAGACCGGCCGGCGAGAACTCGGCCGAATTTCTCTGCTCGTCCAAAAACTGGATCGCACCGAAACAAATTAAACCTCGATGTAAGATACTTTGCGAAGCTTCGTATCGGTTCTCCATTTTTTTTTTATTTCACATTTCATACCGAATTTCTGCCGTTGCTGCGCAAGAATAATTTAGCAGCCACGAGAATTCCCGTATTCACCGGCAAACGAACGCTGAAATCTTGCAATTTACGTTCTTTCGGGTCGAGCTATGGAAGAACAAATTGCCTCGACCCATCCCCGATATCGATACATTCCGCGTTCTTCTTTTACCTTAACATGCTAATAAAAATCGAACAGCGCGAACTTCGTATAACCTGCAGCAAACAGCGCTTCGATCACGCGAAACGCTTCGAATTAAATTCGCAACTCTGCTTCGGATATTCGGACGAGCTTCGGTGCGTCCGCGAACGCTCGACCAGCCAGGGAAATTTGATTTTCGTCCTGAAATCATTTTCTTAACGAGAAAACGCGGATATTAGAATTCCGAATTACTTGTTCGATTTTTCAGCAGGCTACAAGCAGCGATAAAAATGATTTGACACGCGTGAATTTGTACAGTTTTCTACGACTTTCTATCCTTCATCTAGACGATTCTGAAATTCTCTACTTTTATCTGGACAATCTCTAAAATTCTCTATTTCCATCTGCATGATTTCTATAAAATTTTATATCTTCATCCGAACGATTTGTAACGTCGTCTATTTTCTAAAATTGTCTACTTTCGTCTGGACGACCTCTAAAATTGTCCATCTTCAACCGGGCGATTCCTAAAAATGTTCTACTCTCATCAGGACGATTCCTAAGCGAGCGTCGCCCCGACGTCAAATCGCCACGAGGTTGAAAGCCGATCCACAATTCACTCGCCGCCGATCTGTCTGTTCCTTTTTCCATTCGATTCGGCGCGGATCGATAGCGCAGCCTTTTTCGGGGGCAGCGGTGGACCGGATCCGTTGCCTTACCAGGATCGACGCGTCCACGAAGACTCTGCTGATGCCCGACTTCACGTCGAACATACGTATGTCGCCGGTATAGTTATCGGTGTAAAGGATGCCGGTGTCCGTTTGCCAGGTGCCGTTGAAGCCGTTCGCGCGGAAACTTTGGTCGTAGGTCTCCTCCAGAGTGAACGGCACGGCCAGGTTGCCATGGCTGTCGTCTTCGTATCGACGCTCGTATTGGGAATAGTCTTTGTCGATCACTTGCGGTACTGCAAAGGAAAACCGCCGATTTCGTAAAATCGAACGAACGAATCGAAGGGGAGAAATTGCCGGACAAGTGGAATTCCACGGCGGGATGACAGTCTTCTGAGGGAGGAAAAAGAGGGTGTACCCTAAGCAGGAACTGCAATGGCGGAGGCCATGCTAGTTTTATCGGAAATTTCTGTCCTTTTATTGAACCTAATCTTCCATAACTGATTATGCATTTTATTCTGAATTATTCCGAGTGAACTCCTTTTAGTCGAATATTTTATTTGAATAATTCTTAATTGGTCATAAATTAATCTATCTACTTATTCGAATGATTCTTTACTCGAATGATTCTTTTTTGGAATAATTCAGTCTCTCTTCCAAAAAGGATTATGGAAGAAATGAATTGCTGAATTACGAGATAATACTTGATGCTCGATCATTCTTATTCGAATCAATTATTTTCCGTATGAATTCTTGTACGAATCGAAGGGAAGAAATTGCTGGACAAGTGGAATTCCACGGCGGGATGACAGTCTTCTGAGGGAGGAAAAAGAGGGTGTACCCTAAGCAGGAACTGCAATGGCGGAGGCCATGCTAGTTTTACCGGAAATTTCTGTCCTTTTATTGAATCTAATTTTCCATAACTGATTATGCATTTTATTCTGAATTATTCCGAGTGAACTCCTTTTAGTCGAATATTTTATTTGAATAATTCTTAATTGCTCATAAATTACTCGAATGATTCTTTTTTTGGAATAATTCAGTGTCTTCCAAAGTATTATGGAAGAAATGAATTGCTGAATTACGAGATAATACTTGATGCTCGATCATTCTTATTCGAATCAATTATTTTCCGTATGAATTCTCGTACGAATAAATTCTTACGCGAATAAAATAGTGACAAATTTTTATCTAGATCAATTTCTATTCCATCGGATATTTCGACAGCGTCGAGTAAAATTTTATTCGTTACTCTTTATCTCTTATCCGTCATCCGAATGAAATTCCGGCGAACGCTGCTCTCGGCTCGGAAACGATTTCCGTAGCAAGAAAAGTTACGCTCGTCTCGTTCTTTATTTTCACGGAAAACCTCAAGATGTTGCAGGCGTCGCCGCATGACCGAACAAGAGCAAACATGATCAATGAAACGTCTCGTGCTCTCCTTTTTTGCTTCAGAGTGGACTCGCTAGGCACAAAGGAATTGTTCAGCTGTGTTCCTTTTTTTTCTCTTTTTCGAGTTCCCGGGGCTTCGGTTTCGGTAATGACGGTGTTTCGCGCGCGCTCCGATGTTATCCCCCGGTTTCGCGTTTATCGCGAACTCGAGTTAGGAGGAAAAAAAAAACCGGAGCCCCCGGATACGTATATTCGGTACGTGACGGTGGTTGGGCGCTTTGAAATCGGGGTTTTATGCAAATTAGCTAGACGGGATGCGCCGTGTAAGATTAATTAAGTGTCGTTCCCGCGTGTCGAGGGTGAAAGCCACGAAAGTGCGCGCAAACCACGAAGAAATTTCATAAATTTCGTTAGGACAGCGATGGGCGACTTTACCGGCCGCAACTCTTATCCGTCTTGTTGCGGTGCTTCGCGGCCACTTGCGGCTTTCGGTGTGCCGGTTCCGATCATTCCCCCGACGCGATTAGATTAATATCTCGTTCGACCGCATTCGATGCTATTTCGTTCCGCGCTTTATCTTTGACGGCGCTCGAGAGAAGGCTGCGAAAATTTCAACTACTCTCCAGCGAAAATCCAATCTTTTCCGAAATTATTTTTAGTCGCTTGACAACGTTTTAACACTTTTCTGGTAACAGTGAAGATCAAATTCTCGCGCTAGTGATTTTTCTAGCGCGACTCAGCATTCTTTAATCGCTTACAAAAATATTTCTCACAGCTGTAATACATTTGCTAGATCTTTAATTGTTATTGTAACGATCGAACTCATGTGCTAGCGATTTCTCTAACGCGACAGCATTTCTTTTATCGCTTCCAAAATGATTTTCTACAAAATGCACCTTCCTGAAAATGTTTAGCTATTCTTGTATAAAAAAATCATCGAGCTAATTGTATTTTCCGCAGTGCTTCGTCGTCGATTCTCCGGATTTTCTTTCTAACACAAGATCGTGCAATGTCCAAGTCAAATATAAATGCAGAACTAAGTACAACATAGCACGTTAAATTAATACCTTGTTCATTAAAAAAAAAACAACAATTTTAACGAGCAGCGAAGCAGAAGTGACGTGGGACAGTCCGTTGCTTTCAACGAGACGTTCTGCGTAACAATTTTCATTGACTCGCTATCGATCCGATGAGTTCTAGAAAGTCGCCGAGAACGCTGTTCAGAAAACGGCGAATAAAATCGAAGCTAATTAATCCACGTCCAATCAAACCAATACGCCGGTGAAGAGGTTCTCTCTCCGAACGCGTTCTCCGTGGACCACATTACCGAGACCCATTAGTCCGAAGATCATCCAGCGTTCTCGCGTTTTTCGAACAGTGGAAAGCGCGCGTCCTCGACTATCATCGATCTCGAGGATTGTAAGAAAGCCGGCGCTGGAGCAGGTCCCGAGACAAATAACGTGAATCGTCGAAGAGCATTAGCCTGCCCCGCCTCCTCCCGGATCCGAAGGCATCCGAGTGTACTAGACAATGTCCGGTCCCTAAGCAGCTTACGCGAAGCGCGATTATCCCGTGGGAATGTGTCGCAGAAAGAGAGAGAGAGAGAGAGAGAGAGAGAGAGAGAGAGAGAGGGTAAAGAGAGAAACGATGGAACAGATAGACGTTGCAGATATATGCACAAGGTGTCCTAAAAATATTCGAATCAAAAGAAATAAGTAATTTCTTAGGTGATTCGAAGAAATTTCTTTTATCTTACTATACAGGGTGTCCCATAATTATGTTAACATCCGGAAAGGAGAGATAATTATGGGATAATTATAGGGATAGTTATGGGACACCCAGTATACTGGGCGACTCATTTAAAGCGAGCCAGTCGAATATCTTGCAAACCGTTGATGATCCTAAGAAATGTGTCGAATAAAAGTTGAATGGTATTAGAGGGGTACGTAATCTGATATTACAAAGCTTTTCTAGGTTATTGTGCAAAAATACGAAGGTCGATTTCATGATTTTAAATGGAATCGCATATTTTTTGTTGCAGGAATCGATATAGCTCGTTGTTAGCTCGTTGTTTACTGCTCGTTAATGCGGTATTTCTACGAGTGAATTTATATAGAACAATGTTCAAAAATATGGGATCGATATATATAGAATTGATGTAGAATATATAGAATTGATATAGAATTGATATAAAATTGATATAAAATTAATATAGAATTCATTTAGAATTGACATAGAATTGACATAGAATTGATATAGAACATATAGAATATATAGAATTTATATAGAATTGATATAGAATATATAGAAGAGAGAGAATATATAGAATAAATATATATATATATATATATATATATATATATAGAGAGAGAGAGAGAGAGAGAGAGAGAGAGAGGGAGAGAGAGAGGATCGACTTACTGGTCTTCCCAGCGACGAGGACACCCAAGGATCCCTGCAGCACCAGCAGCATTAGCACCTGGAAAAAGATTTCGTTTGCTGTGAGACGGCGCCGTGAAAAAATCCTCCCCGTGTCTGGAATTCCTCGCGAGCCCGTCCCCTCTGTCCGCGGGGGGTGTGAGTGGCCGCCGGAGGGTGGGAAAGACGCGTCGGAGACGGGCCCGGACGCGTCCCTCCGGGCGGAAGGACACGTGCCGGGCATAAAAGTTTCTCAAAGGGGGTGCGAGCGTAATTCCGCGAGGCGCAAGCCTGGCGAAATCCGCGGAATTTCGCGAGGAAAACTGCCGGCGACCCGCGACCAGGCTCGTTAAGCTTGCACCAGGCTTGGGAAATCACCGCGTGCCTACTCAAACTTTCCGGTCTGCCTTAATGGCCGGCAACCGAGGGCCAACAAGGGTCTTGGGCAAGTCGTCACCCGGCGGGGGTGCAACGAGTCACTTGTCGGAAGCTCTTTCGCCCTTAAGTTACGAACTCTTCAGCTTCGCAACGGCCGACCGACAACGGCTGGCTTATGAATCTCAGATCGTGGAACACCTGAGGGCTGAAACCCAGATGGCGTCGCGACGCTGTTCGCCGGCATTCACGCGACGATTATGCGGAATGATCTTAGCCTCCTGCCCGGTAACGTTTTCTTCACGGTTACGTGATCGCAACTTTTTGGTTTCTTAGTCGTATTTGATGCTCATTTAGCTGTGATCACTCTATTATCTTCTTTAATTTTGTAAAAGTCTTCTTTAATTTTGAAAGTACGTCTTTTTATTTTTAATTTGATCAGTATCACGCGTCGATATCCCACGGGGGTTGTTTTTGTGAAATGTTTTCTTTCGCAGTTTTCGATATATTGTTCTTTTTTTAATAATTATATATTTTTTACTGTCGCTTCACGTAGCTCATTACTCCGAATTGGGAGAACAGAATAAAATTCATACTCAATTGTTTATTGCCTGAAATCTTTATGATGAGTCAGAGAACTGTGTGGAAACTGAATGGTAACGGACCAAATTTGTTTTACCGAGGAAACGCTGGAAGAGTCACTTGTTTACTTGTTCTTAACATTATTTAGTATCTCATCATTAATGAAGATTAAATAAACGGTTCTTTTACCGAGCTATTCTTGCGACAACTCTGTCATTTTATGCATCAAAGAGAAATGCTAAATTATATTTTTTCCATTGGCGACGAAGAGCGAAGAACGTTTAAGCAAAATGTTGTCCTTCCGCATTAACCATAAATTTGTTTAATACAGTCTCTTCGTACTGAATCAATATCGAATAATCATTTTTTATTCGCGATGGAAAATGAAGAACATTTTTCAGCGGGCATTTTTTAATACGTTCTCTTTGTATTTTATTCGTTCTGAGACAATATTGAACAACAATTTCGCAGTGGTGATACGAAGACAAAGGACTTCTGTTCTCGTGTACTGGCATTTTTAAAATGAATGACTCTTTAAATCAAAGAGTGTTCTCTTCCAGCGAAAAAATGTTTGACGTTTAATCAAACAGGATTTTATTTTTAAAAAACTGTGAAAGAGGAACGAAGAATTTCAACAGAGAAATTCACGAAAATGAAGCAACGAAGTTGCAAAGTTCGAACTGGATTTATGTATATCTTTTAAACGACGCTGCGACAAGTTTTGCGAACGACGGATCCGATTTGGAGAAACAAGTTCGTCAGCACGAGTGCCTCGGGAATGATACGCGTTAGCAAAATTCGCGAACGGATCAAATTAATGGACGAACGGTCGAACGGCTCTGCTGACAGTCCGTTCAGAACTGTCGAACATTCGTAGTTAACGATGTTTGTTTCTCCTATTGCATTTGGGAACGCGATGGAAATTCCGCTATTTATACAATTTCGCAGTAAGGTAACGGTGTCGACGACGAAGAAATATTGTGCAACAGAAGTAGCCACTTACAAACGAAATAAATGCTCGGAGCAGGAAAGCGAAGACGCAAACGAGAACATTGTTCAAACGCATAATTACTTCACAAGGATTATCGGTTGCTCGAGAAAGCTGGCCAGTCGTTAAAACAATATTCCTCTATGCGCCGAAATTCAACCATAATTACATAATGCAATGAGAAAGTTGTTAAACTTTTGAGAGAAGTTCGTTCCAATTATATGAACAACAATAATTTCCTCGAACCGAAGGCAAAGGCTCGTCTCTCTCTCTCTCTCTCTCTCTCTTTCCCTCTCCCTCTCTCTCTCTCTCTCTCTCTCTCTCTCTCTCTCTCTCTCTCTCTCTGGCTCTCTGTCGATGGACAATTTATAAAAGTGGTTATTTCTTTAACGAGCCTCGCCTAGTGGGACATGCTCCTCGACCGATAAAATGAAGGCTCCGATGAACTTGCGAGTGATAAATAACTTGAAGGTGTCGTTACGAAAAGCAATTATTCTTTCGCGTGAAACGTGATTATTGGATCGCGGATTTTCATGCGAAATAAATATTATCTCGTTCCCGACAAACGGCAAGCTGAAGCGAAATAAAAGTTTGTTTCCTTTCTTGATAGGCACGATAGGTTGAAAGTAACGTAACAGCGTTCTTAATGTCTTTTAATCTATTCACTGTTTTATGCTCCGCCTACGCACTTTTGTCATGAATGCATAAAATCCTAGGATTCCAGGCAGTAACGCATGGTTTATACGACGGCTAATTCTGTCACGAAAGAAACTACATTTTAGTTTTTATTCTACAACGAAGGAGAGAATGCTGGAACGCGCGTCGATCAACAGGAGGTTCGTCAAGAACAAGATTCATTATTTCAGAGAGGGAAGACAAAATGATATGAGAGATATTTAGGAGATAAAAAGAAGACAAAAAAATGTATGCATCTTGAAATATTCAAAAATGTGTATAAAAATAGACAAAAAGTTTCGTCAATGTTTCGTGTTATAAAAATAGTGCCGGAAATCATTCTTATTTCAATGGCTACCCCTTAAATACCGTAATGCCTCCCTAACTGACGCTAAGATTGTCCACAAAAATGGACAATTTGGGAAGAGGAGAAGTGCGTCAATCAGAGAGACATTACTGTAGTTTCATTTCACGAAATTTTTCAGATAGTTGGCGCGACAGTCGAAGTGTTAAAAAGCTTCCACTGCGAAATATAGAATCGGAGAATAAAATTGACAAAAAGTAGATTGCAAAATAAACGTATCGCGCCGGAGAAGAAAATCGAAGCGATGAAGGCATTTAATCGCAGAAGCGAAGAAATTTTCCAATTTCTGACTACAACATATTTCCAATTCGCTGCTTCGTGAGCTACCCGTAGGTTAGAAACCGGATCGCAGCCATTTCGCAGCAAGCCAGAAAACGCTGCAGTTCAGCCGAGCGTTCTCGGCCGGCAGTTTTCGTCGCGCGCCGGGTCCGAAATTTCCGAAAACGTGCCGAAACTTGGCCGGCTCCATTAGAGGGGCCGCGGGAGGGCACGGGAAACTATTTCGGAGGAGCGCGAGCAATTACAACCCACCGTTCTCGATTTACCGGGGCTTTTTCTCTCCGCCGCGTCGTATTTCCGCGCTTCTTCCGGCGGCGGCCGGGGGTTGCATCGTCGACGATAAATCGAGACGGCTCGAGCCTTCGAAAACTTTTCCATTGACGAAACGAAAAGGGCTCGGGGAAAGTTATCGAATCGATACGTCAGAGCACCCCTCGCTTTCCGTGCCCCCCCTAGCCGGCCCCGGGACGGAACGGAACTGCGGCGCGAGAGCCGCAGTCGATCTCTCGAGAGACAAAAACCAAAAGAAAGCCGGCGAGTTTTCAAGCCCGTTCGACGATTATCGTCGCCGTATTTCACGTTTTAACGACACCCGTTCATTTTTGTTGCTGTATCACGCGTGACCGTAAACTCCGCCGTTTACGTGACGAACCTACGTCGCGGCGAGATAAATTATCGGCCGCGTCCCGTTCGCGCGCACCTGCCGGAAAAGTCGCGGCCATTTCTTCGGCCCGGGCGACGCCATTTCTTTCGCGATAATTGAACCACGAAACGGACGACGGCTTTCGCGAAGTATATTTTATGCGGCTATCGTCTTCTTTGCTTCATTCCGTTGCGCTTCCTGCGAAATGTTCGAGCTATGTGTTGTTAATCGTTTCTTATCGGTAAAAGCAATTTGATGTTGAAATGTTCCACATTGTCAATACTTCGTAGGCAGGAAAAATGGCTACGATTTTTCCGAAAGCAATTGAACGTTCTAAGATGGACAATTTTCTTTGCGAACGCGTTATTTTTCAAGAGGATTTTAACCGATTTTCGAAACTACGGTTTTGCCGAGTTGATCGACGTGTCAATAATTCCTTATCGGAGGAAGCAATTACGCACGCAGATGTATAAATACTTCGCAAGGTTAATGTTCGTAGGAACAACATTAATTTTCGTTGCGGTCGGCGTGCGGCAAAGAACGTTCGCGTCGCGGAACAATGGAAATGGCTCGTTGCTAAAATCGTCGAACTAATTTCGCGAGAAATTATCCGATTCGACCATTGACACTCGAATCACCACAAAAATAATCTAAATTTCCCGATGTGCAATTACTGAAATCGCGAGAATGATTTATTAGAGAATTATTGAGCGCGTAACTGCAGAAAAACTTCGCCAGACTAATTTCCATAAAGATAACACAGTGTGAACTAAAAAACACAATTACACAGTAACTAGAGAACTGTAAACATTTCCGTGAAGTTTCAGCAAATAAATTCGCACCGTACTACGAAAAATAATAATTGCAATGGATCCACAAAATCAATCTAATTCCTCTGAAATCAACCAAAAAAAATGTTTGAAAAGAATGTTCCAACACGATAATAATTTCGTAGAAAAACCATTAAGCAAATTCACATTGTAAGACGTAATAACATAGTCGAATCCCTTCTGCAACCAGTTGACTCGGCCGACGAAATTCGATATAATCGATTATTCGATTGTCCGAAGCACGTGTCCGGAGCCGGTGCGCCAAGACAAAGGGTTAACGTATTAGGCGGCGCCGCACACGCGGCAGAGGGTTACCTACCCCGAT